ACACACACACACACACACACACACACACACACACGCTGCCAGGTCTGGGACTTGAACTGCAGTAGACTATGTGGGAGTCCACCGACATAATCATTATGCCATCTGCCAGTCCTTCTACTACATTACTTTTAAGACAACCTACACGTTATACATTTTAAGAGAATAATTTGTAAAGCACTCTAAAACAAGCTCTTAGTGGTTAAATAAATATTATAGAAAAAGAAGTTACGCTAGTAAAAATAACTTCCAACTTTACCAAGGAAAGACTGTCAGAAAATATTTTACCAGAGGTTTACCGTTGTTCCTTTGACTTAACATGAAGCCAAAGTCACACTAAAATATGTAAAAACTGGCCCCATAGCCTAGTGGTAAAGGAAGTTAGCTTGAAAAACACACCAAGCATAAAATCATGAAAGGATGGAGAGATGGAGAAGGGACTGCAGTGTGATCACACCCAGTAGGAGTTGCTTTCTCCTCTGTCTGGCAAGTGTACATGCCCTCTGGGAATTAAAAAAATTTGAGCACATATACCATAAGTCAATTATGAAAAGCTTAACTGTTTCAAAACGATACATGCAATTATGTGAGATGAAGAAATATTATTGCAAGAAAAAATTAAGATATTGGGTCAGGCAGTGGTGCAGTGGTTAAGGTGGCTGGATCCCACATGGCCATCTGCGTGGTTCAAGTCCCAAAACTACAGGATTGAAAAAATTCACTGAATCCATGCACAAGTGTGTTCCAAATCCAAGGGAATGCAGCACAGTCATCCACCTCTGAAGAATGCTTTCTCACTTTCTCTCTCTTGATCTCTCTCTGTTGTCTCCAGCAGGTATGCATGCACTCTAAAGTAAAAATTATGGGGAAAAAAAGGCTTCTACAAGAGGAGACAGGCATTAAAATCAACTGAGGTCCAGCTGGTGATATGATGGTTAAGGTGGTTAAGGTGGCAGAATCCTGACTGCATGGTTCTGAGTCCTGGACCAGGTGGTTGAAAACATACCAGGCACAAGTACGTGCCTGCCTAAAATCATGACAGGAAGGAGAAATAAAAAAGAAGAGACTGAGGTATGCTTCTCTATGGAGAGTGCTTTCTCACTATCCTCCCCCCAAGCCCCCAACCCTTGTGTCTTTCTCCAGAAGCACACACACCATATGGCAAATTGAAAAAAAAAAAAAAAAAAGAAAAGAAAAAAGCAACAAAAACATGGAATTTTTATCCAGTAGATTGAAGTAGGCAAGCAGTCAGCTTCATATGGACAGCATAGGAAGAGAGTGAGAATGGGCAGCTGAGATTATAGAAAGTGGACCACACTGTGTGTGCAACATAGATCTAACTAAAGCTGTAAGGCAACAATATATTGTGTCATCAGAAAAGTCCTGTAGTATTTTTGTGTTTTTCTATGCAAAAATGTGTCATAATTTTTCTGAAAACGCAGAACTTAAAAAAAAAAAAAAGACTTGAAATATATGATAGGATTTCCAAAAGCTCATAGAAAAATGAAATTAAAGTATAAGTTTATTTTGGTGCCCAAAATTTTGAAATCCATATAGTTTTTCAGAATATGCATTTTCCATGAAATTTCTGAAGCCTCCTCATATAGTCTAAAGAGAAAAAATATTAGAGGCAGACACAAAGTCCATGGAACTCTCAGGAACCTTGAAAATGAAAATTCTGAAGAGTACAACAAGGACAGTGGACAGTGAAAACCACTGAGAGGGAGTATTCTTCTGAACCTTCCTGGCAATTCTTAGAGTGTTTTAATATGGGGCATTAGGTATTATTCAGAAATTGACGTTCAGAGTAATACAGTATTCAATATAATACAATTTAATATATTTTTAAAATAATTATTTTATTTAATTTTATTTATTATTATATCATTATTATTTTTCAGTTTGATCAGAGAGAGATAGAGAGAGAGAGAGAGGAAGTGAGAAAGCAAGCCACCAGGTCCGAGACTTGAACCGTGGTCAGCCATGTGGGAGTCCAGCACCTTTAACCACCACGCCACTTGCCGGTCCCACAATTTAATATTTTTCAAAGCTAGAGATTATCATTATTTTTTAGTTTTGTTTGCTGTTTTTCTTTTTTCCCACGAGGTGCACGTGCCTGCGAGAGAGAGAGAGAGAGACAAGAGAGATGGGGAGGGTAGCGAGAAATCACTCCCAGGGGATGGTCATACCACAATAGCTTTTCTTCCAATCGCTTTTCTCCTCATACACACACCCAGGATGATTTTCAAGCCACTGGGTGTGAGACATAAACTATGGAGTTGGCTATGTGGGACCTAGTGCCTTAACCTCCACACTACCTGCTGGCCCAAGGGTTTGTTTGTTTGTTGTTTGAATTCTTATGGTATAAAAAGGAAATCTTGAATACAGATGTAAAACAATTCCATTGAATCACTCCAAGAAAGAGGCCTCAGTGATTACCTGTGGCTGTGACATATTAAAACAAATACAAACAATGATAAGAAAAAAAACAACTCAGAAATCAATGGAAAGAACCACATACTCCCAACTAGACACTCAGTCATCACAAGTAAACAATAAGGCCTAGGAGAAAATAAAACATTAAGAGGAAAACAGAGATGAGAGTTATGCTGGAACTTGGATCCTCCTTTAACGACAAATACATATCAAAGGTCCTATGCAATTAAAATGAAAAAGTGTAGTTTCTGTACTCTTCTTCAAAACAACTAAAGATTTAAAAGACTAGGGCCAGCAGAGGGCATAGTGGTTATGTCACTGGACTCCCACATAGCCAAACACCATTAGAGTCCCAGACCCAGTGGCTTGAGAATCACACTGTGAGTGTGTGTGCACACATGCCCAAGATCCCAGGAGGAGAGTGGAGGAGAAGGGATCGTAGTATGCCCCTTCCCAGGGAGTGGTTTCTCATTTCCCCTCTCACTGTCTCTCTCTGTTCAGCGAGCACATGCACCCTATGGCTAAAATCTCTTGGGGGAAAAAAAAGAGACTTTATATTTCCCCAATGTCAAAAATTTAAATTGAGTATACAAGAAAGACTGAATCATTAAAATCTGTCTTAATTCTAGGTAATACTACCTTACTTCAAGATGAATTGAACAAAAACCTCTGCATTTATATTCTTGAATATGCTAATGTAGGACTGACATCTGCTAATGAAAATCATCAAAAATCATTTTTATTGGCTTTGGAAGAGCTCCTATATTTTATTATAACTTAGGCTCTGGAAAATCATGACATGAACAGAAAAATGCAACAAATATCAAATTTTCTGTCTTCTTTCCTTGCCTCTATTCTGAATCAGCTGAGACACGCTTAACAAATAATGGGTTCTGGTCAGAAACATCAAGTACTGGTAACCTTGGTTTCTCACCTAATATTCTGAACAGAAGAATTTAATGTTTCGTCCTGCGTGCTATTGGTTAGGGTTGCTTCTTCTTGGACAGCTTGAACTGGCTGTACTACATGAACAGTCCGGAAGAGCTGGGTAGGATATGGAGACTGTGAGGGCTGCACTGTCCTCAAAACTTCTGATGGCTGTGCAACTTCCACAGGATCTTTGGGTTTTGTGGCTTTGGAATTCCCTGGTTTTAGAACTGTGGTGGCTCCTCCTTTTATCCCTGGACTAGAAGATACTCTCGATCGGCTTGCTGGATTCCTACTTGAAGTAGCTGCTGAAGATAACGATGGATCTGAAGACTCTATGCTGGAACTTGGATCCTCATCATCTATATATATAAGATCTTTTGGCATTTCCTTAAACTGATACACCAAGCGTTGACCTTCCACTTTTGCCAGAATACCTCTTTGGTAATAGTACCTATTCAAAACAAACAATTTCATCAATATTTTATTCAATCAAATATAAATTAAAATATTTAATAAAGTCCATTTTTCCTAATCATAAAAAAAAAAAAAGAATTCATTTACTTAATTTTATTTAGATAGAGGGAAAGTCAAAGCTTTAAAGTTGTAACCAAATGAGAAAAGAATTTCTAAAAGGAGGACAGTTATTTATATATAAGGTAGAGGTACATTTACACATAGAGGAAAATCCTTATTACCAACTAAATCTAAAACAATTGTGATTAAAGGCTGTTGATAAAGTATGTGGATTATTTTGGCTCTGCATTTTTCTTCTTTCTCCCACCCTTCTGCTAACTTGCCAAGATAATCAAACCTGCTACAAACCTTGGGCCAACTTAAGGGAACTGGACTCCCACATGGCCAACTGCAGACCTGGTGGCTTGGTTTCTCTCTCTTCCTCTCTGTCCCTCTCTGCTCAAATTAAAATAAATTTAAAAAATAAAGTCCAAGGGACCAGCAGTTAGCATAATGGCTATGTTGCTGGACTCCCATGTAGTCGACCACAGTTCACATCCCGGACCTGGTGGCTTAAACTCACACCGGGCGCATGTGTGTGCGTGCCCAAGATTCCGAGAGGAGAATGGAGAAGGGATTGTGGTGTAGCCATCCCCCCTGGGGGGTGATTTCTCGCTTTCTGTCTCTATGTCTGTCTCTGTCTCTGTCTGGCGAGTACACGTGCCCTATGGCAAAAACTTCTCCAAAAAAACCATAATAATAAAGTTCAATAAAATAATTCTTAAGAAAAAAACCTGCTACAAACCTCAAGAAGCTATTTTCCTTCTATAACTTATCATAATGTTCCTAGAAATTTAAATTTGATTTAATTTTGTGTATAAAATGTAAGAATGTACAATAGAAGTGACTAAATTGTGTCAATTTGAATAAAATCAATGACCTAAAAAAATGTAAAAACTACTGAGAACTGTAACTAAATAAGACTTGCCAAATTACATAAACTCTTAAAAGTATTCAGATCGCTCCTATTTCTAATCAACCTTTCTTAAATACATGTGAATGACACTATCACAAAAAAAAAAAAAAGTTTCAGAACAAAATGGTTTCCTCATTCAAAAGAAATTTTTAAAGAATTCTCTTCTTTAAATTTATTTATTTGTTTTCATTTGACCAGAGAGAGACAGAGTGAGAGTAAGAGAGCAAGAGAAAAAGTGAGAAAGCAAGCTGCTAAGTCCAGGACTGGAACTGCAGTCGGCCATGTGGGAGTCTAGTGCCCCTAACCACCACACCATCTGCCAGTCTCATCATTCAAAAATTTTACTATTATTCTTGAGCATTAATTTATCATAATAAAGATCATTCATGTGAATTATGTTTTAAAATGCACCCTCTTGGGACCAGCAGATGGCATAATGGCTACATCACTGGACTCCCATGTAGTCGACCATGGTTCAAGTCCCGGACCCGGTGGCTTAAACTCATGCCAGGTACATGTGCATGTGTGCCCAAGATCCCAAGAGGAGAATGGAGGAGAAGGGATTGCAGTATGGCCATCCCCTCGGGGGGTGATTTCTCACTTTCTGTCTCTCTCTCTCTCTCTGTCTTTCTGGTGAGTGCACATGCCCTATAGCAAAAAACCTCTCCTCTCCCCCATCCCCACAAAAAAAAGCACCCAACTAGCTGGCATTACCACTATTGATATTTTGTGCTGAGTTTAACTCTAATGGCTCAAACATATGTAAGCCTTACCTATGGTAAATTTATAATTGCTGATGGTAGATATTTTCTGATCCCTTTATAAATAAAACATTTGTTGTTTACATGAAGTTTTTTTTTTTTTATTATTCATTTATTTCTTCCATGAGTGAAAGAAACAGTAAGACAACACTGTCAACAAAGTCTTGACACCATGATCCATCCCCAGCCCCAGCCAGGCCTAGATCACGGGCACACGTTTGCTTGGTCCTCCTTAAAAAGAGTATTGCATTTTACTGCTGCACGATCACTGAACCCCAAAAACTTTTCTGGAAGGGAAATGTTTTCCCAGATTAGACTTAGATTTCAGTTTAAATGTTTTTAAATGTTTACAGATTTAAGTATTAGAATTTTGCCATGCCCATAAATAAAATTTATCATTTCTTTAATCTCTCTTTCTCTTTTTTTAAGGAGTTTTCTACCTCAGGATGAAGAGCTTGCTAGAGACAGAGACAGAGACAGAGACAGTGAGAGGGAAATCACCCCTTGGGGGAATGGCTATGCTGTAATCCCTTCTCCTTCTAAGATCTTGGGCACCTAACACACATGCACCCAGCGTGATTTTCAAACCACCTGGTCCAGGTCAGATAAGTGGGAGTCCAGTGACGTAATCGCCACTCCATCTGCTAGCCCCTCTTTTTTTTTCTTTTCCTTAAAAAAAAAAAAAAAAGGCAAAAAACAGGATCTCATCAGGTTATGATCCTCCTGCCTCAGCCTCCTGAGTACCTGGGACCATAGATGTGTGCCACTATCCTGGCATTCCATGTGGCCTTAGTCTGACGAGTAGCAGTGTCAACCAGTACATGCTACCAGAGTTGGGCCTAATCCCTTATTAAAAAAAAAGACGAAAGAAGAAAAGGGTTTTTGTTTGTGATAAGTCTTCAGGAAATGATATTAACACAATAAACTATGAAAACTTCACGTACCTGAGTGCTCTTCCCATGGTCTCATAATTCATATCAGGTTTGTTTTTGTGCTTCCCCCACAACCTGGAAACTGCTTTAGAATCTACCAGTTTAAAAATGCCTTTCTCTCTTTGGGTCCATTTGATGTATTTAGGACAGGTAGCTTTGTCCTGAAGCAATGCCAGTAAAAACTCCCAAAGATAAATCGTGTTTCCTGAAATAAAAACAATTTATTTTTAAATGAGCAGAATTTCATTTAAAAGAACAAATAAAACACAACTAAAAATCTTTTAATCCATCTACTGGTTGTTGCAAAAGTCATGATGTATTTTTTTCCGTTTTTCTATGCAAAAATGCATCACAACTTTCCAACAACCCAATATACTTATACTAAAAATACTACGTAATTCAGATAGGACTGGTTATATAATGGTCATAAATTTTATAATTCAATAAACACCTTTTTTTTTTTTTTGAGAGTGTTTTGCTATAAGGCGCGTGCACTCGCCAGAAAGAGAGAGACAGAGAGACAGAAAGCGAGAAATCACTCCCGGGGGGGATGGCCATGCCGCAATCCCTTCTCCTCCATTCTCCTCTCAGGATCTTGGGCATGCACGCACACATGCCTGGCGTGAGTTTAAGCCACCAGGTCCAGAACTCGAACCACAGTGGACTACATGGGAGTTCAGCGACATAGCCATTACGCTAACTGCTGTTCCCAATAAACACCTTTTTTATTAGTCCCAAATGGGACATAAGAATATAATAACCTTGTTGATTAGATTTGTGACCTTGTCGATTATATTTGGATGACTTAAGAGGAAAGCACTATGAGGTCATTTTTTTCTGCCTCTTTTAGAACAATCACAGAAGAAGGATGAATGAATTATACCTTACCTATCAAGAGTTGTTCTTTTTATATAAGAGCCAGCAAATGAGCCATAACAATCTTCTTTAAATTTGGGCTACAGTTATGAAAATACTATAGCTCTTAAGATTATACAGTAAAGTGTCTATGAACTAAAAAAATCTATATCTATGAACTAAAAAAATCTATAACTATAACTTGACTAAATTCTTCCAAGAGTCTCATTATGAAAAAATGAATTATTTTCCCTTTTGTTTTACTCTTTAATGAGAGGGAGAAAGTGGAGGAAGAAAGGGAGCAAGCAAAAGAAAAGTATCTTTGATAGAGTCTTACTGTATCAGGATCCTCCTGCTCTAGCCTCTGAGTTAGCTAGGATTACAGGTGTGGGCTACTGTCCCTAATATGTTCAGGCAGGCTTGGAATCAAACCTGTGCCTTCCTTATGGCTTCCAGTCCTCCAAGTGGTGTCACTATTTGTGCACCACTGAGGCTGGGCCAAAAGAATGAATTGTTTTGTCTGGTAAACGAAACTCAAACAGATTTCTTGGGCTACTTTATTACCATTCTCTACAGAAACTGGCAATGGCATCTTATAAACACATGGTCAGTAAGATCCATTATAATATACAGGTTAAAGATTCCTTAATCCAAAATGCTTGTAACAAGAAATATTTCAGATTTCTGATTTTTTCAAATTTTGAAATATCTGCATACATAGATGAGATATTTTGGGGATGAGACCCACATCTAAACATGAAATTAATTTGTTTCATATGCACCTTCTATATATAGCCTGAAGACAATTTTATATGACATTTTTATATTACAGTATTTTTACTGTGACCCATCACATGAGGTCAGGTGTGGAATTTTCCATTTGTGGGGTCATCTCAGCACTCTAAAAGTTTTGAATTTGGAGCATTTTGAATTTGGGTTTTCAAATTAAAGATGCTCAATCTGTATCAATAAAACTAGCAGTTTCTACTTCGAATATAGACACTGTAAAGCAACATAAACAAGATCTGACCTCTAAGTATTATAGGGAAATTATTAAGTAGTACTTACCTTTCCCATCTTTGTTTTTCTTTTTCACAGATATATTTGGTGTAGTGGTTGGGGACTCTGGTCGTGGTGGTTTAGTTTTTCTTCCTGAAATCAGAACAGCTCTACATAAATATATGCCCTCAAAAGCGAGAAAGGATGGGTAATTTTTAGCTATTTTATTATTTATCCTAAATTTCAAGTGCCTAATGTTTTATACATGGAGCACATACACTGGTCTCTTAAAATGATGTTTATGTAAAGGCAAATAATTCAGTAAAAACTGAAGGTTAAATCACAAACACTTAAGAAATTACACTTTAGCTTATCTGTAAAAATGAGGTATATTTAAAATACTGTGTTTTGTCTTAAAGGTGACCTTACTGATAGTGCTTTCTCAAAATTTTGGAGTACTCTTGACATTGATAAAACTTGGATTCAAAAAATAAACCAAAGAAGTGTGTCTGCCTATTGGTTACAGAAGCATTTTAATGTAGAGGAAGTAGATCTTTAAAAGTAGACTTTGGGTTTTCTCTCAACTGCATTTCTTTATACAGTTAGTTCTCACATACTGGAAAATCTACCTAACTCTAGAGATACAGAACATGTTAGGCAAAATTTCAGTAAACCATGTAATTTTTATTTTTCTGTGTACTTTAAAACGTCTCACTTTTCAATATCTCCTTCAATTTGTAGCAAACAAACTTCATAGTTATCCATCATTATACTCTCTTAATAAGTCCATCCCCAACAGCCTTAGTCTGGGTCTATTCTAATCTAAAGCCTCGTCTGTGTCTTCTTTTGCCACTTACCTAGCGCTGCGGCTTAGGAGCACTGCTGTCTGTTTTGGTTGAGATGATCACGCTGTCTGAACAGACTACTATTCTGCATTTGAGAAACAATGACTATTTCACCCCCTTGCCCTCCATCAACATTCTCGATGCTCACTCTCTGATCTAAATTGCAAGGGTAAATTCAAGGTTAATAGAATATAGGACAATAGCTAAGAAAGGCAGAACTCTAAAGCTAAAAATTACAAGGTTAGTAATAGCCCATCCCCTGAAATTGAATAGAAAATATTTCTCAAGTTATTTAGGTGAATAAGAATAAAAGAAAGGGGTACAGTAGCTGGCATGGTGGTTAAAGTGCTGGACTTCCACATAATCGACTGTGGTTCGAGTCCCAGACCCAGTCATTTGAGGCTGGCACTGGGCATGTGTATGTGCATGCCTAAGATCCTGAAAGAGTGTGGCTACCCTCCCTTGAGGATGATTGATTTCCCACTTTCCCTGTTTCTGTATCTGTCTGTCTCTCTGGCAAGCACATGTGTCCTATGGCAAAAATCTAAAAAAAGAAAAAATAAAAAAAGAGTAAAGAAAAAGAAGATTCAAAAGGCCACTCTTCCAGCCCCCTCGTAAGGATAGCCCACTGTATACTAGTCAGTCATGCCTCTCCACTTTCATCACTGCAGACATCTGCAGAGAACCCACTCAAGAGGCAGATTCTTTATGGTAAGTATTTCAAGACAAGACTTCAGTAACTTTTTATCATCTTATTATTTTATGCTATTTATCTGCTTTTACTGGTAACATTTTTACGCTCACTGCTTCCTTCTGTTACTTTTAGTCATGACAGACACTGCCAGCAGTTTACCAAATAGTTACCCTTTTCATCTTCCCTATTACTCAAGGCGGCAATGCATCCCCTTGGTTCATGTGTATTATACCTTGGTTTGGTATAGAGTTTTTGATTGACAGTTATTTCTTCTTAGCACTTTGAAGATATCTAGTCTGTCTATTCTCTATCAGAAGCTTCTAAGCTCTTTTAAAAGTATAGTTTCAGGGTCAGCAGATGGTGTGGTGATTAAGGTGCTGGATTCCCACATGGTCGACTACAGTTCTAGTACTGGACCCAAAGGATTCCTTTCTCCCTTCCCCTGTCTCTCTCTGGTGAGCGCATGCACCCTATAGCAAATTTAAATAGTAATAATTATTTATTTATTTATTTTATTTAATAATTCTTTTAAAATAAAATACATCTGGGACAGCAGGTGGCATGGTTGTTAAGGGTGCTGGACTCCCACATGGCCAACCATGGTTCAAGTCTCAGACCTGGAAGTTTGCCTTCTCACTTTCTCTCTCTCTCTCTTTCACTCTGTCCCTCTCTGTTCAAATTCAAATAAATAAATAAAGTTAAATAAAATAATTCTTTTAAAAAATAAAATAAATAGTATAGTTTCTCCTTTGTTTGGTTTCTTGTTTATTTGGGGGACTCAAAGAGGAGACTTTGGTATTCTGAACTTTTACTCTTGATGTGTCTTTTTAGGACTAGATTTATTGCAGTTACACTACTCATGATTCATAGTGTAGAGGATTGATGTCATTCTGGAAAATTGTCAATCATTTTCTTTTTGAATATAGTTTCTTCCTTACTTATTATATTTTCTCCTCCTGGAACTTTGAATAAATATGTACACCTTTTCATTCAGTCCTCCATGTCTCTAAATTCATATTATTCCACATTAGATCTATATTAGAGTTCACTAATTCTTTCTTAAGCAGTGACTAAGCTATAATTAAAACCATGCATTTTGTTTGCAATTTTATTTTTCATGTCTGTAAGTTCTAAAAGGTTATCACGTCAGTCTTTCATTATAAAGTAGGATAGTAGTCTTTTTTAAAAAGCAGCATTATTGAAGTATAACTGACAGACAATAAAATCCATGCTTAAAGTTTATAATCTGATAAATTTTGACTTATGTATACAACTGTGAAATCATCATACATTCAAGACAATGAACAGTCATCACTCCAGAAAGTACTATGTACTAAGTATACTTTGCTCCTCTGCAGTCGTTACATCTCACTCCTCCCCACTCTGCCCATAGAAAACCAGTCACCTGTTTCCCATCATTAAAAATTAGTTTTTACTTTCTAATATATATATATATATACATATAAAAGCATGTTCTTTTTTTCACCTTGCTTTTTCCTTAGCATAATTATATTGAAATTCATCTATTTTTGTTACAGATATCAATAGTAGCTTCTGTTTTATTGAGAAGTGGTATTTTATGTGCTAATATGTCACATATTTGTTTATCCAATCAGCATCTGATAGACATGTGCACTGTCTCCAGTTTTGGACAATTTCAAATAATAATACCAAGAACATTCATGCACAAGTTTTTCTATAAATGTAAGGTTTTTTGTTTGTTTGTTTGTTTTGATATTATACTTAATACAGGAATGACTGGGCTACATGTTACATATACATTACATTTTTTAAGAAACTGACCAACTATTTTTTAAAATTTTTTCTCTATGCAGTAAAGTGGGGCAATAGGAGGATCCACATCAATTGTTTCCTGTCTCTTGGGGATAACTGACCTTTGCTGACTGAAGTCCAATTTCTCTGGTATCACTGTTTCATCCTACCTGTGTTTTCAATGGTTTCAAATGAGAAGGATTAATGTCATTCTGTTGTTCCATCTAGACAAAAAGTTCCACATGTTTGTGTTTTATTTACTTGTTTTTAGAGAGATTTTTGCATTAGGGTGTGTGCACTCTCTGGAGAGACGGAGAGATGGAGAGACAGAGCGACAGAAAGTGAGAAATCACCCCCCGGGGGATGGTCACACCACAATCCCTTTTCCTCCATTCTTTTCTCAGGATCTTGGGCAGGAACACACACATGCCTGGCGTGAGTTTTAAGCCATCAGGTCCTGGACTCGAATTGTGGTCAACTATACCAGAACTGCAGTTAACTATGTGAGAGTCTAGCAATGTAACGATTATGCCATCACTGGTCCCTGTGTTTTATTTTTTAATAGTCTTATTATTTGACAATTTCTTTTTATTCTTTTGCCTTTTTTTAGTTTATTTCCTCCATGAGCAATAAAGAGAAAGAAAACCAGTAAGAGAGACAGCACTCTAGCCTCAGCCAGCCTTGCATCATGGGCACGTACATGCCCAGCAACTCGGGGAGGTCTCTGGACGCTTCCCACATGGGTCAGTCTCACAGAATATATGACTTTAATCATAGTCGCTTAAGGTTTTATTTCATAATTCCATTACCTGCAGTTCTTAGGTAACTAATCCTAGGGTTTTTTTATGCCTGCTCCTTCTCATTTAGGAAGTGTCTTTCTCCTGTATTTTGATACTCAGTTTCAGTTCACTTCAACAGGCTTTATCTGAGGAAATACTGGGCAGCCTCAGTTGAATGTGTAACCCAGAAGAGGACTTTTACAAGAGCATCTACCTGGTGCCTTTTTTATGTTAATAACCTGGCTGGGAATTCCAAAAGTCTATGACAGATTTCCCCATTCAGAGCCTAGGCTGAGAAATACAAACTTCCTTGATACCCGTCTATGCCAGAGTAGATTTTTTTTCTTTTTTACCCCCTGAAGGTAGATATATAGCCTTTTAAGATCCAAGTACATGTTGAAGACTGTCCAATATCCCCATCTTCCACAGACCTAATACCTAAACTTCTGCCTTTACATGGACAATAAAATCAAGCCCTTTGACATATCCTTCTCAGTCTTTCAGAGTGGCTATTAGCTCATGTTTGCCAGTTTTACTTTCTTCTATACTTTTGGTTGTTGGAATTACCCTCAGTTTCATGTGAATTTAAGTTATGAAGTGGCTGGTGGTGCTATTAACCAAGGCATTGAACTCAAAACATTAAAGCAGAAGGCAATAAAATGAAAAGACTGTCAGGCTTCAGAATGCAAATGTGGTCCCCACCTGACTTGTGAAAACGTAAAGATTCTCATTTAACATACTCAACATTTCTTAACTTTTTTTGTAATATACTTAATAGAGGAATGGCTGGGTTATATGAATACATTAAATTTTTAAAATAAATTGACCAACTATTTTCACTATTTTCTTTCCCCCTATGCAGTAAGGTGGGATAATAATAGTAGGGTCTACATCAATTGTTTCCTGTCTCTGGGGATAACTGGCTTTTGCTGACTGAAATGCTGATTTTCAACTCCTTGTATTTTTCCAACTGGGATTCTTACATTGGAATCACCACCCACATAAACTGATGGCTTTCAAACTATGACTCTTGGGAGGAAGCTGACCTGCTGTTACCCTCAAGCTCTTTCTGAGCCTGAATAATAAGATTTAGGTTATATTCTTCTATTGAGAGAGAGAGATTTTTGCTATAGGGCTTGGGCACTCACCAGAGAGACAGAAAGCGAGATCAACCCCCAGGGGAGATGGCCATGCTGCAATCCCTTCTTCTCCATTCTTCTCTTAGGATATTGGGCATGCATGCACACATGCCTGGTCAGAGTTTTAAGCTGCCAAGGGTCCAGGACTCAAACCATGGTCAGATACATGGGAGACCAGCAGCATAACCATTAAACTTTCTGCTGGTCCCAAGGTTTAGATTTTTAAATGGAAGCTTTAAAAAGTTAGAAAATCACTTTTCTATAATACACCAAATATTTTAAATGTGTAAAATAACCTAACTGTTTAAAAAATTACTTTAATATCAAGAAATCTTTTTTTTTTCTAGTTGCCAGAGAGTACATATACTCACCAGGAAGAGAGAGAAAAAGCACACCATATGGGGCATGGTCATGCCATAATCCTATCTCCTCTCTTTTTTCCATCTTGTCAGGATTCTGAGCACCCACGCACAGGTACTCAACATGTTTTTCAATCACCAGGGCAGGACTTGACCCACAGTCAGCCATGTAGGGTCTGACTCTCTTAATCACTAGGTTACAGAGCTGGTCAGAAATACCTCCTTATTTATGTATTGTGCTCTCAATTCTAATTTGTGTAGAAATATCCTGGAGTAAAATTATATTGAGATTTCACATCAAGACTTGACTGTCTGAAGTAGATTAACCACCCACCTTTCTTTCTCTTAGGTTGTTCTGGGGATGATGCTCCTGGTGAGTCCACATATATCTCTTGCACCTGCTGAGTTTCCACCACTTCAGGAATCCCATCTAATGTGACGGATACATGAGTAACTGGGGCAACAACAATGTCATCTTCAGGTGAACTAAATATATTATTATCTAATGGAAATAAAAGCAACCAATTATAAAAAACTGTGTATGATCAATCAAAATAATTTCATAATATAATTTCCTTTTTCTATGAAGATTACAGTAAAAATAAAATTACGATATTTATTCCCTGCCTTTTATTTCCTTTTGCCCTAAATAAAGTACACAAAACCATCTGTGCTTGACTATTTCAATGACTTTCTTACTTGATTTCCTAGCATCAATCTGTGTTCCTTCTGCACTCTTTGCACTGCTGCTACAATTATCCTCTGAAATGTAATTGTGATCTGATCATATTATTCCTCCATGCAGAAAACTTTACACCCCGAAAATTAAAAGAAAACTAACAAATCTTCTCATAGTTTATAGGATAAAAGAACAACAACCCAAGTTCCACAGCACCTGTTTCAAAGCTTCCATGATCTAACCAAAATGGGTGCACAATCTCAGCTCTCACCCACAGAGAAGTTTACACTGCCATCTATACAAAACATTTTTATCTCAAAGACTTCATTCTCTTTTTTTATATACCTGTGCCTTTGGCTCAATCCATTTCCTCTAGCTTGAATGCTCTTTCCTATCTCTTCTATCTATTAAAAGCCTATTTGTCACTTATATCCCAGGTCAAACTCAATAAAGGCTATCTCTGATGTTCTTGGCTAGAGTACTCACTGCTTCCTAAGCATTTTCTTAGGCTTTATCTTTGGCTTTTGGAGTTATTTGTACAAGTAGCTGTTTTCAAAATTAAACGGTAAGTTTGAGGAAAGGAACAATATCTGTTCATTTGTATATCATGTTATTGCCTTGTATACTGCTACTATGCATACAGCAACTATCCAACAAATATTTTGAATTGATTTAGTAATAATTAACTGTATGAGTTTACCTGCTTCCTTGTCAGAAAAGCCCAGAAGAAAACAGAGTAAAAGCAAATCAATAATGTGGCAGTAAATTTTATAACATGAAGTGTTAGTAAAATTTGCAATGAATTTTCGCCTATTTCGTTATAAATATATCTATAGAGACAAACTACTTGTAATAGTTTGGGCCATGAATATCAGAATACTTTTACCAATTAGGTTAACAGAAGAAATTTTACATAATCTACTACTGATAACTAATAAATTATTATTTTGTTCCTAAAGGCTTCATTCCCCAAGTTAAAAAGTCATCTTTACCTGAACACATTAGCAAGGTGCCTCACCTAGTACTGTACTTTAATGTGCATGAGATACATACATACAAAAAACAGTCTCTGGGGAACCAGCAGTTAGCATAATGGCTATGTCGCTGGACTCCCACGTAGTCGACTGCGGTTCGCGTCCTGGACCCGGTGGCTTAAAACTCACACCGGGCGCGTGTGCGTGCGTGCCCAAGATCCCGAGAGGAGAATGGAGGAGAAGGGATTGCAGCATGACCATCCCCCCTGGGGGGTGATTTCTTGCTTTCTGTCTTTATGTCTCTCTGTCTGGCAAGCGCACGCGCCCTATAGCGAAAATCTCTCTCAAAAAAAAAAAAAGTCTCTGATGTCACTGACCATATAATAGAGAGAGGGCAAGGGCAACTTTACAAAATACATAAACATGAATAATCACAACCACTCACTTAATCGTTTTTCATCCAACATAGGGCCAGGAGAATCCATATTAAGGAGTGCCTCAGCAGCCTCAATAGTTTCGATTGTTTCATCCCCATCATGACAAGAAGCTTCGACTACAATATATTTAAAGAAAGAACAGAATTAGCTACAAGACATCTGTAGTTATGAAATTCATACACTGCTATCTCTTCAAGCAGGATACAAAACTTAATACTGAGTTTAGGGACCAGCAGTTGGCATAATGGCTATGTCGCTGGAATCCCACGTAGTTGACTGTGGTTTGAGTCCTGGAATCAATGGCTTAAATTCAAACCAGGCACATGTGTGTGCGTGCCCCAGATCCCGAGAGGAGAATGGAGGAGAAGGGACTGTGACATGGCCATCCCCCTATGGGGAGAGATTTCTTGCTGTCTCTCTGTCTCTCTCTGTCTTTATGGCAAGTGCAAATACCCTATAGCAAAAACCTCTTAAAAAAAAAATTAAGGTGCGGGCTGGCAGGTGGTGTGGTGGTTAAGAGTGCTGGAATCCCACATGGTCAACCATGGTTCGAGTCCCAGACCTGGTGGCTCGCTTTCTCTCTCTCACCCCTCTCCCCACTGGGTCAAATTAAAATAAATAAATAAAGTTAAATAAAATAATTATCGGGGGAAAAAACACGTTATGAATACATATTTAAAAAAAGAATTAAGGTGCAAATATCTGCTTTCAAATAATTAACGTTCTCAAATATAACCAACATATCTGGCCAAAATATATGAGTAAATGTACAAAAATAAAAAGCATGTACCATTTTTTTAAGAGAGATTTTGCAATAAGGCACATGCACTTGCCAGAGAGACAGAAATAGAGAGTCAGAAAGCAAGGAATCACCGCCCAGGGGGGATGGCCATGCTGCGATCCCTCTTCCTCCATTCTCCTTTTGAGATTTTGAGCAAGCACGCACACATACCCAGCATGAGGGTTTTTTTTTTTTTTGAGAGGTTTTTATTATAGGGCGCATGAGCTCCCCAGACAGACAGAGAGAGACAGAGAGATAGAAAGTGAGAAATCACCTCCCCAGGGGGATGGCCACGCCACAATCCTTTCTTCTCCATTCTCCTCTCGGGGCCTTGGGCATGCAGGCACACGCGTCTGGTGTGAGTTTAAGCCACGGGGCCCAGGACCCCGGAACCATGGTCAACTACATGGGAGTCCAGCAACACAGCCATTACGCTAACTGCTGGTCCCCCCCAGCATGAGTTTTAAGCCACCAGGTCTGGGACTAGAACCACAGTCGACTACACAGAAGTCCAGCAACATAATCATTATGCCATCTGCTGGTTCCAAAGCATATACCAATTTCTAAAACTGATGGAAAATATCATTACTGCTACTTCACATTTATGTAGTCCACTATCTCACATTATGTAATCTACACTTCAAGATGGAAATATCTTACTAATTCCCAAACCAAAAGAGAATTCTTCAATAAATCCCAGGATCTTGTACATTTGGGTCACAGCCTACCATTTTGCTTCCTGGGACTGCAGTAAGAAAAGGACATTCCTATCTCCTTCCCTATAAACAACTTCTCATTTTTGTTCCCAGAAATAGAAAGCTAGGCATATAAAAAAAAGCACTCAGTGCAATTCAATGAAATAAATGGATATTTATTTCAAACCTCCCATTTTGTCTCACTCATCTCAATATGTTAGGAAAAAAGAAAAAGGTCAGAGAGCAGTATGAAACATGGTGAGACAGAAAATGTAATTCCTTCTCCCCACAAGTCCCAAGCTGCTGCAGGTAATGATGCTGCTCAAAACAGTAACTTGTTATGCCCCCTCAACCTCAGGTAGGTCACTGAGTAAAACTGTGCTGCAGCAAGGTCCTTCTGAAGAGACACATACCTGTAAGGGTGATGTCGTCATCATCGTCTTCTATGATTTCTTCTTCAGCAACATCCAATGAGCTCTCAGTAATCATGTCATTGGGCTCTTCCACACAGGCTAGCCCAGCATAGCTATTGAGAATATCTGCACCAGGAACATGTTCCACAATTACAGCAGGAAAAATAGCTGGATCACCAAGCTAAGAGGGGTGGGGGAAGAAGTGAGGAAAAACAAAGGTTTAACAAATTTTGCTTTTGTTGAAAACAACCCCAAAACATTTTATACTAGAATCAATTTAGTTTTTGTATCTTCAGCTACTTGAATCTTGATAATCCTAGATCACAGAGACTATAAATCTATTAAAACCAAATAAACTTTCATTATTAAGTCTTAATAATCAAGTTTTCTCAAGGAACTCAAGCAGCTGTTCCAAAAAACAGATGATCAATCCTATTAAAAGATGGGAGAATTAATTGAAAAAAAAAAACCACTCTCTAAAGATGACATACAAATAGTTAAAAGGTATATATAAAAAAAAAATGCTCTACATCCCTCATTGTAAGGGAAATACAGATCAAAACAACAATGAGATACCACCTAACTCCAGTCAGAATGACTAAGATTAAAAAAAAAAAGAGGGACCAGCAGTTAGCGTAATGGCTATGTCGCTGGACTCCCACGTAGTCGACCGCGGTTCACATCCCGAACCCGGTGGCTTAAAACTCACACCGGGCACGTGTGCGTGCGTGCCCAAGATCCCGAGAGGAGAATGAAGGAGAAGGGATTGCAGCGTGGCCATGCCCCCAGGGGGTGATTTCTCGCTTTCTGTCTCTCTGTCTCTCTCTGTCTGTCTGGCAAGCGCACATACCCTATGGCAAAAACCTCTACAAAAAATAAAAATAAAAACGATAAGTGGTGGCAGGGGTGTGGTGAAAAGGGAACTCTCCTACACTGCTGATGGGAACGTAAATTGGTCCAGCCACTGTGGAGAACAATTTGGGGA